GGCATCCAAAATGTGGCCCGGGAATGGAGTTCTGGGACTCGAAGAGCACGAAGTGTGTGACTGTTGCATCCGGCCCTCCAGAATGTGGCCCGGGAATGGAGTTCTGGGAACTCGAAGAGCACGAAGTGTGTGACTGTTGCATCTGGTTATTCTAAATGTGGCCCGGGAATGGCGTTCTGGGATCTCGAAGAGCACGAAGTGTGTGACTGTTGCATCCGGGTATTCAGAATGTGGCCTGGGAATGGAGTTCTGGGAAGTCGAAGAGCACGAAGTGTGTGACTGTTGGTGAAAAACGAGCCCGGCACCCTGCCGCCCGGCAACTCCCCAACACCTGCCCGGACCCCCCTGTGGAGTGATCTGTGAGCTCTTTTGAGTCAACTAGAAACCTATCAGTCTTCGCTGTTAGGTAAAAACCTCCCTGTGCCGTCTTGGGGTTCGCTTGGGCCGTCTGGAAGCCCTCTGGGCCAGTTTGCGACCCATGTCGGCTCCCCTTCTCGCTGCGACGGGCCCTGCGCAACCTCATTTTCCCACGGTTTGCAAGGAAGCTGTGGTGAACGATCCCGGGGAAAATCCAAGGGGTCGGCGGATGTGGCGGAAGCCTGAAGAATCATGGGTTTACACTGGCCGTCTTTCCTCATCCGCATCCTCATCCTCCTCCGTCCTTCCTCCCCCCCCCGCTCTCATCCCTCCCCCCCTCCTCCAAAAAAGCGTTCTCACCCTCTTCCTCCCAACTCTCCCCTGCCCCATCTCTCTCTCTCCTCCCTCCCCTTCGTCAGGCCCTCCCCCCTCCTCCCACATCACTCCCTCCCAATAGCCGTCCCTAGAGGCCTCCCACGTGGGGTCGTAGTAGTTGGGGTCCGAGGATCTCGCCGCATCGCCGCTGCATCGGCAATGCATCGTCGATACATCGGCGATGCATGGGCGACGTCGGCGATACAGCGGCGACGTCCGCCTGGAGAAGATCGGGCTTCACATCAAGCCGCTTCGCCGATGCATCTGCGATGCGGCGCGATCCTCCGACTCCATCTTACGTGTTCGACCATGGACCCCTTGTTACCCATCGCTCCTCGGCCGTCTTCGGCGGTCTTCGGACGGTTTTCGGCGGTCCTCGGCGCTCTTCGGCGGTCTCCTGACGGTCTTCGGCGGTGTCTGGCGGTCTCTTCGGCGCGAAAGCTGGACGCTTGCGTTCAACAAGGGGTCCATGATCGAACACCTAACACCCATCTACTCCGACCCCACCTGGGAGGCCCAGATTGGAGGCGAGCGAGGGGGGGAAGTGAGAAGGGGTGGGCCTTCTCAGAAGGCTCGGAAGTCCCCGGGCTTTCCGATAAGCTTTCTAAGCATTCCCCGAAGACGCAGAAAACTTCTCGGAAGGCGCGAGGGCTTCTGAGAAGCCCCGCGGCCTTCTGAGAGGGCCTTCTCCTTCTCACTTCTCCCCCTCGCTCGCCGCTGAGTCTGGGAGGCCTAGAGCCTCCCAGCGCGCGCGCGCGCCCAGGCTGGAGCCGCCTCCCCAGGCAGCAGCTCGCCACGAGCTCCTCGCGGCACCAGCAGCAGCAGGCGAGAGGGGGCACTGGGGAGAGGCCCGCCGAGACAGCACTCCAAGAGGACGGCGGCGGTGCGGCCGCCAAGGCAGCGATCGCAGGGCAGAGCATCTGGGGAGGAGGAGGGAGGAGCGAGGGAAGAGAGACGGAGGGAGGGAGGCGCATTTGGAGCATTTGTGCAGCATAGCGTGCGGGGAGAAGAGAAAGGAAGGAAGGAGGGTGAGGCATCAGGCAGCCGACGGATGCAAACTGCGGCTGCCCGACGCCTGTGCTGTACCCACGTCTCGGTCACGCTCCCAACCAGCAACAATGGCTAGAGGGAGGAAGGGAGGGGCAGAGCAGGGCAGGGGAGGGGAAGGGAGGGGAGGGGAGGGGAGGGAGGGAGAGGGGAGGAAGGAGGCGTATGATTGTGGGAGAGCAGGATATGGAGCAGGACGACGACGGCGACGACGGCGACGACGACGACGACGACCGAGAGGAGAGGAACAAGGGGGAGCAAGATCCTAATTAAAGGATACCCGCGCGTGTTGCCCCTAAATTTCTCGCGCCGGATAGCTCCAAGACGGCTTCGGAAGAGCCTCTTGGAGCCTCGTCGGGCCGTCTCGGCGAGACACCGAAGTACGCCCACGAGGGTACACAAAGTACACAAAGAGCCCCACGACAGCCCTTGACTCGTTCGTCGTCTGCCTGCTTCTTCCCTCCTCGTCCCCTTCCGCCGGGCAGCACAGCCTGCCCGGGACCAGCGTGGCGGCATGTAGGGCTTCGGCCGTGTCTGGGCCGTGGCGATCTGGGCGCAGCAGCACCGAGTGTGGTCGATGCTTCGTGACCGAGGCTCCCACGCATGGCTCTGAGCTGGGCGGCCGCCTGCCGCCAAAGCGCCGCATGGGGCCCCCTGCGGCGGGGCGGAGAGCGTCATGCTTATACTACGATGCTGCGTTTCAGCAGGTGCTCCCCAGAATCGGCTCGTGCCCTGATGGCAGGCAGCCTGCATACCGTCTCGCATGGGCCGCGAGGGAGATGAGCCGAAGGAGGAGGGCACGCAAATCCCGAATTGCGCACGCGGTATACCCTCTGCTCTCATATGCTGGACCCCATGTGCTCCCCCGGTCGCCCCGACAACACTTCGAGCAATCAGAGCTCAACCTCTGTCGAGCGAGAACTACGTCGACCAGCGGCCACAAACGCCTTGCTTCTCCACAGGGGCAGGAGGCGGCGGTGATTCCCCGCAGGCGTCCTCGACAAAGAGGGCGGGGGGGGGGGGCCGGGAGGGCGGGAGCGCGGGAGATGAGGGCCAGAGGGGAGGCACGGCACAGGGCAGGGACGGCTTGCGGGGGGGGGAGGGCGGAGCGCCCCTGTCTCGGGGAGACGTAAGATTCGGGCTCGGGGGGCTCGGGTTGGCCTGAAGGGACCCTTAGGAGACCGACGAGACCCAGGCTGAAATTCACCACGAGCTCCTGCTGCGAGCATCCCTCAGAAACTGCACGCCGAAATCCAAGCCAGGCCCGTGCGGAAGCGTCGGCAAACCCGAGTCCGGGCGAACTCGAGTCTTACGTTTGAGTGAACTGAGCTGCATGTTTTTGAAGCCGGATCCGGCTTTAAAAACTTATAGCTATCTATAAATATATAACATGTGTTTGAAGCCGGATGCGGCTTCAAAAACACGCAGTTCTCTCGTCTCAGCGAACTCGAGTCTTACATTCCCCCGATTATCCTGGAGGAACAAAGATGCACAAATATGGTTTCTCGGAGCGCAGCGCAGCGCGGATTTCTTGGATCGGCGGTGGAGCCCCGTCCATGCAATTGGCGCCCGGTGCCGATGCAAGAAATCCGCGCAGAGCTCCGAGAAGTTATGCTTGTGCTTGCTTCAGTTGTTCGAGGAGCGCCCTTGCTAGGTGGCGACATCCGCGCCCCACTCCCACCGATCATCGATTATTCTAATCGATGGGAGCCTGGGATAGGGTTCGGATTTCGCCGCGTGTTCGACGAATTCCGAACACTACCCCCGCCGCCCATCGAGCTACCTGAATCGTTGATCGGCGAAGACAGGGTTCGGATTTCGTCGCCGACCTGTTCCCCGCGAGGCGCGGGCCCGCCAACCCCTGGCAGGCCTACCTTTCTGTAACAACTCATGGGAGCCTCCCGTGCCATCTTGCTGGTGCTTGGACCGCTAGAAGCTAGCGCACGCCGCTGCACTCGAAGGACCAAACTCCGAAGACACACGAGGCTCCCACGAGTTGCTGCCGAAGCCGCCGCCATCTAGCATGAGGGAGACGGGTCGGTACTGGATCTGACAGTCCTGGTGGAGAGCTCCGAGAGCCCGAAATCGGCGAAAACCTCAGGACCCATTCCCCTCAGGACTTGTTCCCCCCATGGCGAGCCTTGTTCCCTGCGAGGCGTGGGCCCGCCAACCCCCCGGCAGGCCTACCCCGAGATGCCGCCCCAGGGCGCCGCGCTCGGCCGCGCGGCCGCTGCTGCCGGTCGCGCGCGCCCCCACCGAGGGCGGCCCGCGAGCGGCCGCGCCCAGTGCGGCCTCGAGCAGCTCGTTCAGCGCTCCGCGGAGCCGCGCGCGCACCTGACCGGGAGGCCAGGCAGCGGGGCGAGCCGGCCACGCGCGGAGAGACGCAGGGGAAGAGGGCAGTGCTCCTTAGAAGCAGCCTCCTTCTGAGAAGCTTCCCCCCTCCCCCATGCCCCTTACCCCCAGTGCGCGCCGCCAAGCGGGGGAAAACTGCACAAGTCACGGACTGTGGGAGGGCGCGAGGATGGTCGCGCGTGGCGCAGCGCGGGGGATCCGCGCGATCGCGCCGCGTCGGTGCCCGCACGCGCCTGTGAGGGCGTGGCGTCGGCGGCCGTGGCCTCAACAAGGAAAACAGCAGTTCAATTATGTGGAATGTAGGCGGCTTCATGCTTGGCGGCGCGCACAAGGGGGTGGTGGAAGAGGGAGGGCTCCTGAGCAGGAGGCTGCTTCTAGATCGGGTCTGCGCCTTTTCAGAAGCAGCGGCGATTCTGAGAAGCCCTCCCCCTCGCACCACCCCTGTCTACACATGGCTGACAGATTTCGTCCACTATACAGGGGGAGGTGAGAAGGGGGCCTGGGGGGCCACGATGACGTCGGGGTGGCGAGGTGCGGCGGGAGGCTGCCATCGCACACCACCGATCTGGCCCTGCTTGCTCTCTGCCCCCCTCCCGTCCCTCGTCGCTCACCCCTTGGACTGCGGTGGGCTGTGCCCAGGATCGGTACCTACGCACTCCTGGCTCGGCCAGGGAAGCATCTGCGCCGATCCTGGGCCCTGGCAGGGATCAGCGCATGTGTTCAGTTCTCTTCGCCCGATAGAATCCAGCGGCGCACCCGGGAAGGAGTGAGAGGGGGCAAGCCTTCTCAAGGCGGCGGGGCTTCTCAGAAACCGTGCGGCCTTCTGAGAAGCCGTCTCTGTCTTCGGAGGAGGCTCAGAAAACGTCTCCGGACGCCTTCCGAGCCCTCTGAGAAGGCCCGCCCCCTCTGAGTTCCCCCCGGACTCGCCGCCGATACCAGCAGGGCCCGCAGAAAGAGAGGAGCGGGGGGGCAAGCTAGGCGCGCTCGCGCCATGTCTGGCATCCCACCCATCCCTTCCCATCCCTTCCCCTCCCCGCCCACTCCATCCGCCGACGCATGCCATAGCGGACCTGGAATCACGCCGAGATGCAGTGCTGCCCCTTGATGTCTGGGACGTCCCGACCCGTCCCTCCGACCCCCCTCGCGCCGCCCACGGGCACCAGCGAGGCGAGCACGTACTCCAGCAGGCAGGCCGCCCCACGGAGGAGGCGCCCGTCGAGAGCGTCGAGGGCCTCCTGCGATGCGGAGCCCGAAGCACATGCCCACCACGACAGTACGCCCGACTGGGGCGCTGGCAGACCCAGGCCCCCTCGCGTCATGACAAGATCGCGACGGCAAGTGTTTGACAGTGTTTGGCCTCTGGAGGCCTTCCCTGGCCCCCAGCACCGTCAAAAACCGACTCGGGATGGAAAACTGGTCCTGGGGAAGGGAGTCCAAACCTTCAGGGGTCCACGCTGTGAAAAAGTCACGACGTCGGAGTTCTGGAAGAGCCCCTTGGCTCAGGGTGCCCCCAGCTCCCAGGCCATTTGGGAGACTGGGAGCCCTTTCCTGCTCCTCACCTGGCCGTTTGCAGGCCGTCGGGGCTTCCCCAGCAGCCCTAGGAGCACCTTGGGCCAAGACCGCTCCTGTCAGCACCTGACCGATTACCTCCACCGACGACACACACCCCTTGAGCAGGACAGAGGAGGGGAGACGGACAGAGGAGCAGAAAGGAGGGAGGACTGTCTGTGTTGAGCACCTAGGCATTTTTCCCCCACATCATGCCACCATGGCACCAAAGGATCGGAAAAAACGCGACCCTCGGGCATTATGTTTCCCTGACTATCGGCGACTGCGGATCGTTGTACGCACACTAATGTACCAATCCTCTACCAGAATGTTCAAAGCCAGTACGGAAGAAAGCGAGTAAGACAGGAGCAAGACAAGAAACTGCGTCATCTGCTATCCCGGCCGCGTCGCCGATAGTCGGGATGCAAAGGCACGCCAAGTGCCAGCAAGAGGGAAGCAAAACAAGGAAGAGGAAGAAAGAGAGAGAGAGAGGGGGAGACAAAAAAAGAACAAAAAGAACGACAGAAACACTAGAACCTCGTGCGTATGTAAACCAGCATGCGCATCCGGCATTCGCAATAGAACCCACGCGAGCACTATAGAGGAGGGAGACGGGAAGAAGAAGGAGCAAACCCAGACCATCACATAATATCGCTATCCACAGCAGTGGCGAAGTGCACTGACTAACTATACACCCCATGTCGGGCGTCAGCGCTCGCACGAAGATTGACAGCGAGCGTGAAATCGAATGAAGATGAAATGCTGAAACAAGCAGGGCTGCTGGCAGCGACGGCGCGAGACTGGACGCCCCCCTGAAATGGAGGCGGCACCCAGGCACAGGCAGACGAATACGCTTCGGTAGCCCCGCTCTGGCCTCGTTTGTTCTGTCACTTCAGAATGGTCCCCAACTTCCCCCAGTACCGGGGGCAACCCAAGCCACCGCTCCGTCAATGTCGCCTTCAAGCGTGGCGCACTTACACCTGGGTCACCTCAAGTCAGAGCATCTCGGAGCCAGGGATTCCGAGGATGTACCAGGCGAAACGGGCCTGAAAACCTCTCGGACCACGTCTTGGAACCCAGAGTTGCGAGAGCGCATCAAGCGAAACGGGCCAGAGCACCTCAATTCAGGGCACGCAATAGCCTTGGGGTCGGAGGATGTCTGAGGCGAAATGGGCCTGAGTACCTCACGAACCACTTCTGGGAACTCAGAGTTGTGAGGATGTCTCAAACCAATCGGGCCAGAGCACCTCGCGAGCCGCATCTTGGAACCCAGAGGTGTGGGGTGCGAGGATGTCTCAAGCCAAGCGGGCCAGAGAACCTCAAGTCAGGGCATCTCAGAACCCGGGGTTCCGATGATGTCTCAAGCGGAACGGGCCTGAGCACCTAGTGAACCGCATCTTCAACCCAGAGCTGCGAGAACGTCTCAGGTCTTAGGCCAAACGGTCAGAGCCAGGGATACTGAGGATGTACCAGGCGGAACGTGCCTGAGTACCTCCCTCGCAGACTACATCTTGAACCCAGTGGCGAGGACGTCTCAAGCGAAACGGGCCAGAACACCTCAATTCGGGCCTTCCGAAGCCCGGGGTTCCGAGGATGTCTCAGGCAAAACAGGCCTGAATCCTCGCGAACCACATCTTGAAATCCAGAATTGCAAGGACGTCTCAAGCGAGACACGCCAGGGCACATCAAATCAGGACATCTCGGAGCCCGAGGTTCCGAGGATAGGTCTTTGTGGGCCATGGGGCGCACCCAACCTTTGTTTAGGGTAATCATTCCCGGCACCTCCCCAGCACCGCCGCTGATTTTGCTACGTCGCCCGAATCTGTCCCGGGCGACCCAGGCACGGGGGTCAGGTGCACTGCCCCCCTCGCCGGCCTAGGCAAGCCCAGGATGGGGCCCAGGATGGGGCTGCTGCTGGCTTTCGTACCCAGTGCTTCAATACCCATTTGGCCGAGTACGGAAACCCTAAACCCAAAAATGTTCGCATCTCTCCGGAGCCGGCGGAGCCGCCCTCGTTTTACTTCTGCCGCCTTCCGCCCACCTTTCTTTCTTCATAGCACTGCGCCCAAGCACGCTCAATCGGACGCTCGTGTGGGGGTCGAACTGAAACCTACCGAACTCGACGCATGACGTTTTTTCCATATCATGGGTGGACCCTAGACGGGGACGCGCAGAGGGACAAGGGTAGCCATGAATTCGCACCCGCGCGCACCCGCCTCTGCGGAGGCGGCACTGCGAGTGCTGCCCTCGGTCCCCCTCTGGGGCCAAGGCGCCGCCAACCCCCAGTCGAAAACCCAAGGATGCAAGACCGAGGAGGGAGGGGAAGGGGCGGGAGGCGACACGCTACGGCAGCGGCGCCAAGCGGAGCGTCAGGGAACGCCCACGACCGCAACTCCTTCGACCTCCGAAAGCGAGGCCCTTTCTGAAGCGCCTCATTGCCCTTCCCCCCGAAGGCAGGCAGCAAGGCACGTTCTCAACCCGGCCGCCCGGTCCTCGCACGCCTCGCCGCCGCCGCCGGCACCCGCCTCGCCCAACAGCGCCGGCAGCAGCGGCGACGGTGCCTCGGCGCTCGGCCACAGCCGTGCGGCAAAGTCGTGGTGGAGCCCGAGCCGCACCTTCAGGCGCAGCAGCGCGTCCGCACGGCCCGCCAGCAGCGCCAGCGCCGCGCGCTCGGGAGAGGCCTCCTGCGAGCAGCGTGGAACCCACCGCGACCGCCGGTGCAAGTGGGAAGGGGCTTTGCCTGATGCCGCGGTGAGCCACGAAGGCCGATGATGGTGATGATGATGGTGATGATGATGATGACGACGGTGATGATGATATTGATGACGACGGTGGTGATGGTGATGGTGATGGTGATGGTGATGGTGATGGTGATGGTGATGGTGATGGTGATGGTGATGGTGATGGTGATGGTGATGGTGATGGTGATGGTGATGGTGATGGTGATGGTGATGGTGATGGTGATGGTGAATGGTGATGGTGATGGTGATGGTGATGGTGGTGGTGGTGGTGGTGATGGTCATGATGATGGTGATGATGATGATGATGATGATGATGATGATGATGATGATGATGATGATGGATGCTGACACCGTGTGGATCGTTCAGCCTTGAACGATCGGCGGCTTTTCGATTGCCAACTCGTTCCCATCGGGGACGATTCTGGGCCTCTGGCGGCGTTCCACCTTGAACGCACGCGGGGGGGTCGCCGCGTCGACACGACGCAAACCTGCCGTACGCATGGCTCAGCCCCCATCTCTCTGAGGCCACCTGACCCCGCGATTCGCGCCGCGCTGTCGCCTTCGCGCTCTCGCGCCGCCCCCTACTGGATAACTAAGGACCACGCATCTGGCACACACCGCCCGGCGCGCGGCGAAATCATGTCTTCGCGCCCGCGCGGGTGGCCCAAGTACGCCCCAAAAAGACCGAGGAGTCCTCGAGGCCACCCCTGGCCTCTGAGTCATCTCCTGCGCCGCTCTCGTGCCGCTAGGTGGCGACATCCGAGCTCCACTCCCACCGACCATCGAGTCTCCTGAGTCGATGGGAGGCGGGGGTAGGGCTCGGATTTCGCCGCTTGCTCGACGACTTCCGAACCCTATCCACGCCGCATCGTGGCTCGTGGATCGGCATTCGTAGTGCTCGGACTTCGCCGCCGACGCGTCGCTCTCGTGCCGTCGGGCTCGCTTCTCGTGGAGCCCAGTGGGGCCTGGCGTCGGGGCCATCTGCCCGCAAAAGCCCAAAGCAGATTCGTGGCGCCGCTCCCTCCCTGGCCTGTAGGGGACTCCAGGCCTCCCTTTGGGAGGGGCGTCGGAGAGACAGCCTGGACCACTGAAGGCATACCAGATGGGGTCCGAGCAGGTGGGGTCGGAGGATCCCGCCGCATCGCCGATGCCTCGCCGATGCATCGGCGATGTATCGCATCGGCGTCGGCGTGGAGAAACTCTGGCTCCACATCGGGCCGCATTGCCGATGCGGAGGGATACTCCGACCCCATCCGCTCGGACCCCAGCTGGAAAGCCTGGATCCTCCGCACCAGGTGCCTGGATCTGGGTAAGGCCTCCATAGTAAGGCATATCCCGCCCACACCCGCCAGCTGACCGCAGAGAGCCCGAAGCCTGGCCAGGGGTGCTGATGGCAACGCAGAAGGGGGGAGGCTGAGGGGAGGCTGGGAGGGGGGCAGAGTGGAACGATACACACTCTGGCACTCAGGCGCGGGCTGGTCGTAGCCGCAGCGGGATATCGAACACGTCGTGGCGTTCACCGTCACGCCGCTGTGAGGTGGATGAGGGGAGGCAAAACGACAAGCTTGAGGGCCAAATCACGAGTCTGAATGACAAGACGGGGAGTCGGGGGGTTCTGAGAGTGTCCCTGGCCCAGGGTATCCACAGCCTTTCACTCCGCTCTGGGGCCCCTGGGGCCCTGTGTGCCTTGTAAGGGGTGCTCTGGAGGCCGCGGGGACCTCCTCGGAAGAACTTGGGAACACCTCGGTGCAAGGACACCTCTGACAACACGCCGAAGGTGGGGGACAAAGAGGTCCCGATACCACTACACCGAGAACATTTCTAGGGGTACGTTCTGACGAGAGCTTGGAGGCGAATCCAGCCATGGCGACAATGGAAGGGTAGCGATATTGGTCAGAGTGAGGGGGCCGAACGGTTATTCACTGTCCTTGGGCGTGTGGCTGAAGTGGAGTTCCGCGGTGCGGAGTGTTGTTGCGTTGTTGCGTTTTTGCGTTGATATGTTGGTTGTCGTCGTTCTCACATGGGACCCCCCCGCGACCCTCCGCGACCCACCCCGCGACCAAACCCGCGCCCGTCCCCTCAATACTATCCGCAACTGCGCGGTGCTATGTATATGTTCAAGGAGCGGCAGTCCCGCAGATCGGCTGCTTACAACCCTGGCCCATGCCAGAAGTTAAAAAACACCAGCCACACTGGGATAGAGGGGACGGGGAGAGAAGAGGACGAGGATGAGGAGCAATGAGCCACGAACCGCCAAGCGATTGAGGCGTGACAGTGGCAGTGTGCCGACCCATCGGCCACGATTTTTCTTGCCCCCATCATACAATATAACTTCCCATACCTTTACCCTTCTCTTCTTACACTCCGTTTCGGCGATTTCTTCATTCAAGGTTCCCACAACAGAAACCACCACGGCTACCTCGGCCAACCCAGCTTGGCA